ATATTTTGTTGGTATAAAAGTCAACTCATTTGATGATGGACGTTAATCCCAAACACTGAGTTTGGACCATGTGTGTCTCATCACATCTCAACATGTTCTCTGTGCATGAACACTCGGCCTGCAACATTATATCTGAACATGACATGAATCCAGAGTCCAGTCAGATGATCAACAGCTGTATTCAAAGGATCAGCAGCTGTATTCAGAGGATCAGCAGCTGTATTCAGAGGATCAGCAGCTGTATTCAAAGGAACAGCAGCTGTATTCAAAGGATCGGCAGCTGTATTCAAAGGATCAGCAGCTGTATTCAAAGGATCGGCAGCTGTATTCAAAGGATCGGCAGCTGTATTCAAAGGATCGGCAGCTGTATTCAAAGGATCGGCAGCTGTATTCAAAGGATCGGCAGCTGTATTCAGAGGATCAGCAGCTGTATTCAAAGGATCAGCAGCTGTATTCAGAGGATCAGCAGCTGTATTCAGAGCATCGGCAGCTGTATTCAAAGGATCAGCAGCTGTATTCAAAGGATCAGCAGCTGTATTCAAAGGAACAGCAGCTGTATTCAGAGGATCGGCAGCTGTATTCAGAGGATCGGCAGCTGAATTCAAAGGATCAGCAGCTGTATTCAGAGGATCAGCAGCTGTATTCAAAGGATCAGCAGCTGTATTCAGAGGATCGGCAACTGTATTCAGAGGATCAGCAGCTGTATTCAAAGGATCCGCAGCTGTATTCAAAGGATCGGCAGCTGTATTCAGAGGATCGGCAGCTGTATTCAAAGGAACAGCAGCTGTATTCAGAGGATCAGCAGCTGTATTCAAAGGAACGGCAGCTGTATTCAGAAGATCGGCAGCTGTATTCAAAGGATCAGCAGCTGTATTCAGAGGATCGGCAGCTGTATTCAAAGGATCAGCAGCTGTATTCAGAGGATCAGCAGCTGTATTCAAAGGAACGGCAGCTGTATTCAGAGGATCAGCAGCTGTATTCAAAGGAACAGCAGCTGTATTCAGAGGATCAGCAGCTGTATTCAAAGGATCAGCAGCTGTATTCAGAGGATCAGCAGCTGTATTCAAAGGATCAGCAGCTGTATTCAAAGGATCAGCAGCTGTATTCAAAGGATCAGCAGCTGTATTCAAAGGATCAGCAGCTGTATTCAAAGGATCAGCAGCTGTATTCAAAGGATCAGCAGCTGTATTCAAAGGATCAGCAGCTGTATTCAAAGGATCAGCAGCTGTATTCAAAGGATCAGCAGCTGTATTCAAAGGATCAGCAGCTGTATTCAAAGGATCAGCAGCTGTATTCAAAGGATCAGCAGCTGTATTCAAAGGATCAGCAGCTGTATTCAAAGGATCAGCAGCTGTATTCAAAGGATCAGCAGCTGTATTCAAAGGATCAGCAGCTGTATTCAAAGGATCAGCAGCTGTATTCAAAGGATCAGCAGCTGTATTCAAAGGATCAGCAGCTGTATTCAAAGGATCAGCAGCTGTATTCAAAGGATCAGCAGCTGTATTCAAAGGATCAGCAGCTGTATTCAAAGGATCAGCAGCTGTATTCAAAGGATCAGCAGCTGTATTCAAAGGATCAGCAGCTGTATTCAAAGGATCAGCAGCTGTATTCAAAGGATCAGCAGCTGTATTCAAAGGATCAGCAGCTGTATTCAAAGGATCAGCAGCTGTATTCAAAGGATCAGCAGCTGTATTCAAAGGATCAGCAGCTGTATTCAAAGGATCAGCAGCTGTATTCAAAGGATCAGCAGCTGTATTCAAAGGATCAGCAGCTGTATTCAAAGGATCAGCAGCTGTATTCAAAGGATCAGCAGCTGTATTCAAAGGATCAGCAGCTGTATTCAAAGGATCAGCAGCTGTATTCAAAGGATCAGCAGCTGTATTCAAAGGATCAGCAGCTGTATTCAAAGGATCAGCAGCTGTATTCAAAGGATCAGCAGCTGTATTCAAAGGATCAGCAGCTGTATTCAAAGGATCAGCAGCTGTATTCAAAGGATCAGCAGCTGTATTCAAAGGATCAGCAGCTGTATTCAGAGGATCAGCAGCTGTATTCAGAGGATCAGCAGCTGTATTCAAAGGATCAGCAGCTGTATTCAAAGGAACAGCAGCTGTATTCAAAGGATCAGCAGCTGTATTCAGAGGATCAGCAGCTGTATTCAAAGGAACAGCAGCTGTATTCAAAGGATCAGCAGCTGTATTCAGAGGATCGGCAGCTGTATTCAGAGGATCAGCAGCTGTGATCCTCCCTGAGTGACTGGAGGAAAATCTAGTCATAAATCATAGATCAGTTATTAGATTTTTAAAACTCACCCTTTGATGTTTGAAACAAAAACAGTTTCACTCGTGTCGCTGGTTAGTTTGTGCAATCAGTTTATTTTTGTCTAAATTTTCAGTGAGTTGTAGAATGGAGCTTTTTCCTATCTTTATTCAAGAGAGTGGTTTTTCAGTTTGAGAGCATTATTTATTGATTTCACGTTCAGATTGTGTCATATTGTCCCTCAAACCCTGCCCTCACACTCAGACATCATGTTGCTTGCACAGATTTCCTGCTCCAGCTTCAGCTCTTCTCCTCAAACACAAATTGCTTCTGTGCGCTCGAGGAAACTAAAGCGAGTACGCCAGCAAGGAGGCAGGGATCATTTCATTGGTCAACAATAAACCTGCCGTTCTATTGGTTGGGGGATTTTGACAGGGTAGTTACACAAAAAAATCCAAGAACAGGGCAGAAATCTGAAAGCAGAAACTCCACGAGCGCACAGAAGCAGTTTGAGCGTGAGGAGAAGAGCTGAAGCTGGAGCAGGACATCTGTGGAAGCAACACTGTATCTGAGTGTGAGGGCAGGGTTTGAGGGACAATATGACGCAATCTGAACGTGAAATCAATAAATAATGCTCTCCAACTGAAAGACCACTCCCTTGAATAAAGATTTAGATGAAATATCATTATTTTACACTCAGATTTTATTTTTCTGGATACATTTGTCATAATGATGCATTCAAGGAATGATAATTTTTGTTTTTCAAGTTTCTGGCTGTGATAAATGATGTAATTTAGGCATTTTAAAGGCATATTGTCTTTTAAGATCTGTGGTAAAATAAATACAAAATACAACCATTTAAATGTGTATTCCCCTAACATACAGTAAGCCCCTCTGGGGTGCCTCATAAAATAAAAAACAAACAGTCCCTTAAAACTCCTGAAACAGGTGACGTCTAAGTGTTTCTCTACAGGAAATATGGAGGACTGAATGAGAAACAATCAGAGTTGAAGTTTTGGGGAAGAAAACATTTACTGAGAGTTAAAGAGTCTCAAACTGTCTGATCACACCTGACTGACAACTACAGTCCTGCAACATCTGAATCCTGATTGGTGCATTGATGTGTGACATCACATGTTTGATGAGATAGGAAAGGAAACAGGTGTATATACATATATATGAACAGTGTGTGTGTGTGTGTGTGTGTCAGATGGAGGCAGCAGTGTGTCACTAAGTGATCTGTTAATGTAGAAACAGATTCTGTGTTCAGTCTTTGATGTTTTTAATTTCCTCCTGCTGATTTATGAGGACTGTCACTAATGTGTGTGTGTGTGTGTGTGTGTGTGTGTGTGTGTGTGTTGTCATGACTCACAGCAGACCTTGATGATAAAATGATGGATGAGTGTGTCCAAGGTTGCGTACAGTGAACACACACACACACACACACACACACACACACCGTGAGAACAATGGAACAGAAAACCATTAAACGTACGGACCAATCAGAGCGCAGACAAGATGACTCATCACTCTGTGTTAAACACATGTTTAAAGTCAGGTACATCACACCTGACACGGTGGAGACACAGAAGCTCTGTCATTTACTGATGATAAGAGAACGAATGATGATGTCACATTCATGATCGACCTGCTGACAGGCTCAGTCCCACTTTGACCAGTAAGAGTCCAGGAGTCGTACTCACAAACATCCTGAGAACTCTCTCAGAGCTCTGAACGAAGGAGTCTGAGCTCAGGAGAGATTTAGGAAAGTTCTCAGAGCGACTCTGAGCGAGGAAGAGACAGAAACTGTGACCTCAGTGAGGAGGTGTGGTCGACCCTGTTGTTAGGTGTGATGCTTTCTTTTAACAGGTGTGATTGGTTGTCACAGACACGAGCCTGTATGGTGAGGACACCCAGTGGACATGAGATGAACTGCATCACAATATGAGCTTGACAGTGTCAGTGTCAGTGAGGTCACTGCTGATGAAGGTTGAGACAGACTCAACTCATCACTGCTGCTCTGACGGGTTTTTACAGTTTTTCAAATATCTTAATATTGTGATCATTTTATTTCTGGTGTTATAGCGTTATTTGGTCAGCTGGGAAATGTGTGTGTATGACATCAACCACACATATCCTCCCTGCACCATCTCATCTGTAGCGTTTCATTGACTCACTGTCATTTTGTGTTTAGAGACCGTTTCTCTGACCTCTCTGTGTTTCCACCATTTTCTCCTCTGATTCAGAAACGCTTAAACTCCTCCTCCTGCTCCCAACACTTTGTCTCCTCTTATCAGGTCTGAGACGCTCTGTGAATAACTTTTATCTTTACAAGGACCTCGTCTTAACTTTTAGTCATAACTTTAAGTCTTAACTTTAAGTCTTAACTTTAAGGGGAATTTCTAAGAAAACGTCACAATTCTAAGAACCTTCTTAGAATTTTGTCACTAGGAGCGACTCCTAGCACGAGGAAGCTTTGTGAATATGACCCCAGGTCTTGTACTGGAGTCCTGTATGGGTGGTTCGTCTGTCTGTCTGTCTGTCTGTCTGTCTGAGACACAGTCTGAACTCTTCTTCATGTGTTGTAATGAGAGTAGTTTTGGGTCGTGGTTCTTGTTGGGTTTATCTAGACAAAGATGATGATGATAGTGATGATGGTGATGATGATGATGATGATGATGATGATGTAAAGTGATCAGGTCGCCCTCATCATCGTCCTGATGCTGTTTCCTGTCGTCCTGCAGTGTTCCACTTCTCGCAGCGCTTCACCACGGTGGTTCCAGAGAGCTGCATGCTGATCCTTCTGGGTCTGGTTCTGGGCGGGGTTGTCCTCATAGCCAATAAGAAGCAGCTGTACCAGCTGGAGCCCGCCCTCTTCTTCCTCTTCCTGTTGCCGACCATCGTGGGCGACGCCGGGTACTTCATGCCGGCCCGCCTCTTCTTCGACAACCTGGGAGCCATCCTGACGTACGCCGTGGTGGGAACGCTGTGGAACGCCTTCTGCACCGGCTTCTCCCTGTACGCCGCCAAACTGCTGGGGGTCATAGGTCAGTCTGAGGTCACAGCGAGGTCACAGTCAGCTGACAGCATGAGAACATGTTTAATGTTGAGTGTGAAACATGCTGTTTGTCCCAGAATGCTTCACTTTGGACAGATGTGTAATTAACACGTATCCTCCAACCCGTCCCGACACATAGTTTGTTCCCGCCCTCTAATACGACCACAGACTGTAAATAAAGATGGATGCTGTGTGTCCACTGTATCGTCCGCTGTGCAGAGGATTGTGGGTCAGAACAGTCACTAAAGCGTGCTGGTCTACAGACTGCAGGATGTGACAGGGTGTCGTGGAACTTCCTGACGGACAGACTCTGTCCTGGGACTAAATGTTTTTCCTGCCCTCTGTATCGTCTGGCAGGACGGATGAACCTGACCACATGTCGACCACAGCGTTGTTGAAACATACAGTTTCAGCGCAGTGGTTTCCAACTGGTGGGTCATGATCCAAAAGTGGGTCACGGTCCATTGTTTAACATGTCATGTTAGTAAAAAACACTTTTTGAAATACAGTGAATTTCTGACACAGAGCTTTTATTTTGAAGTGCTATTTCCTGCTGTAGACTGAGTGACTAACGGACAGCTGTTTGACAGAGACAGGAAACTAAGACGACGCGAACAAACACAAATATGACACTGAACATATCAAACTGTGAGAAGCTTGACCTGGTGACTGAGGAGAATCTGGACCAGTTGCTCACCGATGGTTTCTACGTATCCTCCACATAAGAACGTACAAACGTAACTTCCTGTGGAACATGGAGCTACAGACAGGAAGTTGTCACAAGAGAATTCAAATATAAATATAAATATAATATTAACTGCTCACTGTCTGTGAACGTTTAGTTTGAATCAGTTATTTTTTATGTTTGACTTTTCATCAGGAACGACTCTATAAACCTCTCAGAGGGTCTCATCATTAATAACAACAATAACAACAATAATAATAATAATAATAATAATAACTTTATTTGTGGAGCTGCAGAAAATATAAAACAAAAAGTGATACTAGTGAAACACACACACTTAAACACATGTACCTGTTTGATATAGACAGGTACGCATGGCTGTAAATAAATCGGTGGCTTAGTGGATCGAGCAGGCGCCCCATGTACAAGGCTGTTGCCTCAGGGGCCTGGGTTTGACTCCAGCCTGTGGCCATTTCCTTCATGTCACTCCCCCGTCACACTTGTCTGTCCTGTCGATTAAAGGCTAAAATGCCCCCCCCCCCGCCCCCCCCCAAAAAAAAGTTAGTTTTCAGACTGGATTTAAAGACGTGAACAGAGTCAGCTGATCTGATGCTCAGAGGGGGGCTGATCCAGGGACCAGGAGCAGGAACTGAAAGGCTCCATCAGCCTCTGTCTTTGACCTGGACTCTGACCTGAGACCAGCAGACCTGAGGGACCTGAGGGACCTGAGACCAGCAGACCTGAGGGACCTGTTTGGACGGGATGCTGTGAGAAGCTCAGATAAACACTGTGGAGTCAGATCATTCTGAGCCTTGTGTGTGATTAAGAGAACTTTAAATGTATTCAGAGAGACAGGAAGTCAGAGGAGGCGAGATGTGTGAGGACGGTTTGGGTCAAAAGTCTTTTGAATGATTTGGAGCTGGATTGTTTGGTCATTACATATTAATGTGTGATGTCACACAGAGACAGAGTTACATTCATAACTTGATCTGATATCTGATTGATCACATGTTCAGGTTCAAATGTCTGTGCTGTGTCTCAAATCACATACTTCCTTTAGTACACTTCATGTAGTATACTGTGTGCACTATGTGCTTATTGGCGTAGTGCGCAAATGTCAACAGGGTAGTGTTGCCTCAAACCAAACACGGCCGTTGTGCACTCACCAGAACTGACGACCGCAAATTAGTTAGTTAGCAAACTAGCATTAGCATTTACATTATTGTTCGCGGTACCAAATAATTACAGACTGCTGAATGAACCCAACAAACATACTGCTGACTTATACCTGACAACAGTATAGTGGTGCTTAGTGCAAAAAGCACATTTATTTGTACAATGCAGCCACGTTCACAGTCGCACAGTCCTCGGCCGCCATTTCCAGTTTGAAAAGTGGCCCCTCCCCTTCCGCTACGTAGCCAAGATGGCGACCATTGAGGGCGAGAAGTGTCCATAGTTCCACACTCACCTTCTTGACTGTTTTGAGTGCACCATCCAGGCACTCATAGTGCACTGCATTTTCCGTACTTCTCAGTATGAACGCACTGATGCACTCACAATATTAAGTGTAAGTACAGAAGTACGAGATTTGAGACACAGCACTGGTGTCCGAACTGATCCCCAGTTTATCTTCCTCTGTGTGTGTGTGTGTGTGTGTGTGTGTGTGTGTGTGTGTGCAGATGAGCGTGTGCAGGCAGACCTGATGGACTTCCTGTTGTTCGGAGCGTTGATCTCAGCTGTTGACCCCGTGGCGGTGCTTGCCGTGTTTGAGGAGGTTCATGTCAACGACACGCTCTTCATCATCGTGTTCGGAGAGTCGCTGGTTAACGACGCTGTCACAGTGGTGAGACACACACACACACACACACACACACACACAAACACACACACACACACACACTCTACAGTGTAAAGAGATGTTTGTGTTTGTCTCAGTTTGTCCTGATGGTGGCGCTACAGGAGAGATGATGATGATGATGATGATGATGACGATGATCCGAAGGGTGCTCAGAGTGTTTCCTCTGACGATGACTCTCACAGTGAGGTCACATGTGATGATGAAGAGCTCAGAGTGTTTCCTTGGTGCCGTGCTGAGTGTGAATGAAAGCAGATTAGCTGTGCAGCTCTCTAATCCTCAGCAGCACTCAGAATATGAGCTAATCCCACCAACAGGAGCAGGAAACCACAGCCTGAGAAAACTCACTGACACACAGAGGGAAACACACTCTGTTTCATATCATCACCATCATCATCATCATCATCATCATCATTATCATCATCAGTGGCCGTCAAACTCAATAGCTCCGCCCCCTTGAATTGTGTGAGAATTTGTGAACTGATATAGTTTGCTCTTGTTGAACGTGGACCTCTACAATCAATCAGTCAATCAATCAGTCAATCAGTCAATCAATCAATCAATATGTTCACTGTTTTCTGTGAGGCGAGAATCACAGTGTTTGCTTCATGACCTCATGCTGACCTCACTGATTCACAAACAGGCATTTTATGGTGAAGGATTTCTTTTGATGAGGAGGGTCAGAGGTCGAGGTGACGTTACTGCAGAGCAAACAGACTGAGTGTCACATTGTGTGAGTTGAGAGCTAAACACCAGAGGGCAACAAGAGGTGATGAAGCACTGAGGAAGACCTGTCAGATCAAACCGTCACTGACAAAAGAAGAAGGCGCTCCGACTCCTCGTCGTGTTCTCAGATGTTTTTGAGTTTCACAGGTTCTGACGTCTGTTGAACTTTTTAAAAATCGAATTATTATATTTCTGTTATTTTCTCATTCGTCCCTGAAACACAACAGACTCAGATCCTTGACGGTGTGTGAGTTGTCACCATGGCAACAGTGAGCCCTGAGGATGAGCTGCACTTTACAAACTAACCTCCCGAGTCCTGCAACAGCTCTTTAACGTCTCACTAACAGCAGTGACCCGGGTCCTGATCCAGGTCTGCTCTCTGTTCCTCAGGTTCTATATAAGGTCTACATCTCCTTCGTGGAGGTCGGAGCGGAGAACGTTCAGACAGCTGATTACTTCAAAGGAGTCGGTGAGTCCACACAGACGAACCAAATGTAAGGTCAATCTGACTCTTCTGTGACTCACCTCACTCTTCCTCCTCAGCCTCCTTCCTCATCGTCAGTGTTGGTGGGACTCTGGTGGGTCTGGTGTTTGCAGTCCTCCTCGGCTTCATCACTCGGTTCACCAAGAAGGTTCGGATCATCGAGCCGCTGTTTGTCTTCCTGCTGGTCTACCTGGCCTACCTGACCGCTGAGCTCTTCTCCCTGTCCGCCATTCTGTCGTAAGTCTTCCCGACCAGTACCACCACAGAGACCAGTACCACCACAGAGACCAGTACCACCACAGAGACCAGTACCACCACAGAGACTAGTACCACCACAGAGACTAGTACCACCACAAAGACCAGTACCACCACAGAGACTAGTACCACCACA